TTTCTATCACTTTCATGGCAAGTCTGCCTCTTTGGGTTCCTTGGATTGTCACCAACACCACAGTCTGAACAGATGGAATGGGGGGCCAGAGCACCAACAACACTTTAGGATGGAGCAACAAAAGAAATGGCTGGATGTCAGCAGAGGAGGGTTGGGAGGGTTTTGGCAGTGGGGAGCAGGGACACCTCCTCTCTGCCTCCTCAGCTCCCCATGTCAAAGGCCAGATTGCCCTGTGTGCAGAGGAGCAGGGGGTGACACGAGGAGGATGGGTGGGAGCAATCCATCTTCTCCCCGTGCCATTGCCCTCAACCAGCTCCTTCCTGTGTATTCAATTAGTTTTCTCTCAGTCCTTTGCAGAGGAGGGAGGTGAAGAATCCATTTAAAACCTCATATCCTTTCTTGCTCGTAGACTTTGTGGCATCTGGAAATGTTTCATATTATTTCTCTCATTTTTCCCCTTGTGTCTTTGCTGCTGCTTATCTGCAGCTATTTCTCTCTCCTTCAGCTTTTTGTCTTCTCCTCTCTTTGCTCCAGCCCCTGCTTCTCCACCCTTTTCTTCTTCCATCCATCTCTAACCACTTTCTCTACCCTTTTTGTCCTCCCTACCTTGCTTTTCAATGTTTGTTTCCCAGTTGGCAAATACCAGGACTTTTGTGTTTTTGTTTTGGGGGAGCATGAATGGTTGCACATTCATCAGAGGAGCTGATAAATGGCTCGGATCAGAGCCCAGGAGCCCCAGCTCCCAGATATCTCAGAACAAATCAGGAGTAAGCAGCCTGCAAAGTTGTCTCATCTTGGTTTAAGGCAGAAACCGAGTTCACAATTTTTATTTTTTTTTTTTCTGTGGAGAAAAAGGCCAGGTAGAGATGTATTAATCTGAAACAGTATCAGTGATCTTTGAACAACCCAGCTAATTCTGGGTGTAAATGGTGGAAGAACCTGGCCCTGCTGAGGGGAAAAGGAGCGTGGTGGGATTTTATCCTTGCTTACAGACAAAACATCTCAGAGAGGAGCGTCCTGAGTCAGCAGATGGAAGAGGGACAAGTCCACTGGCTGTTACCATCCAGGCAGGTGACCAGAGAGAGCAGAGCAGAGCCTCTTCATGTCTTATTCCTTGAATACAGATAGGGTTTGTGTCCTACAGATACTGAGAAAGGAAACCTCCAAGGAAGGGAAACGTTGCAGACTGGGAGAGGTGAGTTGTTAGTCGGGATGCTGAGCCCCTTCACGGTGCTTTTCAACAACCATTTCCAAAACCATACAGGGGATTTCAGAGCTGCTCCTCCTGTTTTGCTGATAGGAAAGGTCATCCCAGATAATGGAAATAGTTTCATCAGCCCAGAGAGCTGAGGTAGTCATAGGTCTGTCCTCTCACTGCTGGGTCAAATTGGCAGAATGATTAAGAGATTAATTTCCTGGTCTGCTGCAGACTCCAGGAGTGGCCCTATGCAAGCAATGTAGATTTTTCTTTACTACTGTGACCTCTCTTTGAAAAATGAAGATAATAGCACATTCAGAATTCCAGGATTAATTAAAGCATGTTATTAAAGGCTGTGGCATTTGTTGGGTACATATGCAATATGAGAGAGAAAAAAAATATCATATTGCTGAGCTTGGTGAATTTGAACCATCCAGAACCGTAATAAATTTCTTTTTTTAATAAAATAATAACTCAGAAGAGGTGGTCAGAGCTATCAAACATTTATAAAGTGTCTGAGCTCCTGCTCCTGGAGGCAAAATTCCTCTGCAGCGAACATGAGGTCTGCACAAAATTAAAAGATCAGACTGGAAGAAGTTTGCCTTCAGCAGGAGTGAATTCCCATGGGATAACGGGCAGCTAAGCTCTTCTGAGAGAAAACTGGTGGTGGATGAACATGCTGCTGGGGCTGAGTCCTTTGCTGCCAAGTGCTTTGTAGAATTCAGGTTGGTGCAGAAGAGCAGGTGAGGCTGGGTGGGTCAGCAGACTCCTTGAGAGGCACCCTCTCGCAGCCCCTAACAGTCAGATGAGCGATGCAGCAAGAATGGTATTCTCTGCCGAGACTGAAGAGTCTCCTCGATCCTATGGATTTCCCTCTTCTTCCAGTTCTTTTGATATCCCTGCAGTAAACTGGGCAAATAGGGCACTGAGTAGCACGTGCTTCAAAAGCATGGTCGTGCCTTTGCCTCCCTCGGGCCAGCGCTCACGTTACATTTGTGACTTACAGATCACCAGGCAATAACTGAGCAAAACGGATCTGGAATTGTGGCTCGCAGGTCCCAGGAACCTCAGGAGCGTTACCTACTGCTCATGAATGTGGTATTTCCTGCCTGAGTGAGCAATCCCGAAGCCAAACCATCTATTAAACCGAGAGCGCAGGGACAGCGCTGGTGAGGGAAGCAGCCTGGACCACGGCTGGGTGAGCTCTCCCTCCACCAGGGCTCTGAGCCACGCAGAGACAAAAACACTGGCATTTAAAAACCTGGCAGTTACAGCCTCTTCATTTATGCAGGTACTAGAGCCTTGCAAAATATTCTTCCTTGTATTTTCTAATTAAAGTTTCGACACTGACAGAGGAAGAGCAGCGTGGGTGATTTGCCTGTCCCTGATCCATCATCCCAGACCCACTCCAAGGTCTGAACCTACAGCCCTTGCCAAGGCTGTCAGACTGAGCACCCGTCTGCTCACAAGGGCTTTTATCCTGACCTCAGGGCTCTCCATGGTGATGTTTTTGGCCATGCAGAGGCACTGAGCTGTGGAGTGGTTCCTGGTGCCCCATGGCATGGTGCTGGCTTGGTCCCTGCTCCAGGGGCTGGGTTGCAGGGCTTTGGACAGAATCAGTTTTATTTGCAGGAAAATCCCTCCTTGTAAATTATTCATCGCTTTAACACCTGGAATAAGTTTTCATTACTTTAACTCAGGTAGGAGCAGTTGTTGCGGCCATGCCCAGGGTAAGGTGACACTGCCAGACCCAGCTCTCTCACATGGTGACTTCTGTGTGGCCCAGGAGGAGGGAAGTCCAGATTTGAGGTCTTTGGGGCAGCTTTGCATGCAAAAATTCAGGACCTGGCATTGTCTTTAGGAACAGTCAACTCTGTCCTGGTGACATTTGGAGCTGTCAGAATTGATGCCCCTCACTGCCCTGTGCTGTCATCTGTCCGTCCATCCATCTGTCCCTGGGGTCTCCATGTGTCATTGCAACACAGAGACAAGGCTGGGACCTTAAAATAAAGTCCAACGCCTATCCTGTACTTGCAAGGAACCCACTGGCTCTGCTTAGAGGGGAAAAAACCTAGTATTTGGTTCATTTTCACCTCTAAATGCCTTCAACGTAAATGCCAGAGGGGATACCATAAAATGCTATTTAAGAGCCAGTGCTTCTTAAATATGATCAACAGAAGTTTTGATTCCCAAACAAAAATAATCTATCTCCTGGATGAGACAACATCCAGCAACTCAGCATTTAGGATGTACTTCGGGGATTTTGTATGTATTTTGGTGGGTTTAGTTTCTGGCTTTAATTAAAATTTTAGATTAATGGAGAATCACACACGGCACCAGCTGGTATTTCATGGGAACTGCTGTGCTTTGCCTCTGGGCTATCACTGCTACCCCAGCTTCACTGAGCTTTGCTGCTGCTTGCACTGGTGCTCCATGTTTTGTTTCCACAGCTGATTTAGTGAAAGGAGAGGAGCAAGTTTTGTTTGCCTGACAAAGCTCTCTTGGAGGCTTTACAGAGATTACACTGTCAAATTTTCCCAGAGTAATTTCCAGCAGTGGTGCAGCTTTTTCTCCCCCTCTTTCCTCCTTCCCAAACTTCCCCCAGAGCCACCTGCAGTTTATTTGGATTCATCAAAGACATCAGAGCTGGAAAAGAAAGGTATCTGCGATGCCGGCTATCCTCCCACCCAATCGGTGCTGTGCTCTGCCAGGCTCTGGGGTGGAAAAAAGAAAAGATTCCGAAGGGGGGAATTTCACCCCCCAAGGGATGAGGAGCAGAGGGTAAGATGCCACCAGCAACGTCCTTAAAAGAAAGGCTGAGGGTGCTCTGTGAGCAGCACAGCCCGAAACCGCGGGAGGAGGGATCCCAGCGACGGAGCAAACAACTGTGACAGAGAACAGGATCCGCGGAGTGTGTTTTCTGCCTGCTTAGTTAATATGGAAAATGCCTTGAATGATAGAGAATGGCAATAGTGATTAATTAGGAACACTCTGCATTTGCATCATCCTTCCCGGGCTCTAAAAGTGCCTTATAAGCACGAACCGAAGCACAGGGTGCTCCCGCGGGATGGAGGGAGGCAGCATGGCCACGGATTGACAGGCTGGGATCAATTTTTGGCTGTTGCTGCCGAAGTAACAATTCCTTCAGTGTAGGAGTGTCACACAAGCAGTGTCCAGGAGCCGCGTTGGTGGTGGGACCCCAAACCCACCTCCAGACAGGAGAAGGCAGAGAAAAACCTATATCTGGCACGTTTCTTGAGTGGATTTTCAGTGGGTTCATGAGGGCAATGCTCTCGTCCCAGGGAACAGGTGTGTCTTGGCAAAGGACACCCCAGTAACGCCATTCCTCGCACCCCAAAATGTGGGTGATCCCCATGGTGAGGATGGGAGACCTCCAAACCACCGAGGGGCACCGCAGTGGGCTCAGTTACTCTTTTTCTGTGAGAAAGGAAGATGAATAAAAGGGGGGAAAAAAACCCCCAAACCCAGCACCAACCCACGGTGCCGGGGGGGTCCCTACCCCTGGCTGGGGACCGGAGCCGGGCGGGATGGTGGTGACCGCCAGGGGAAAAAAAAATTATTAAAAAGGGTTTTAAAAAGATAAATAAATTAATAATAAAATCCGAGGCGAAGCGAACCGAAAGGAGCCGAGCCGAGCCGCCCCATACCTGAGCGGGGCGCGGCGGAGGCGGAGCGGTGCTGCCTCCTCCTTCCTCTCCCCCCCCTCCTACTCCTCCTCCTCCTGCCGCCGCTCCCTTCCCTTCCCGTCCCCGCACCCCGGCCGGCCGCGGCGGGTGTAAAGGTCGGTGCGTCCGTGTGTCCGTGTGTCCGGCTGTCGGTCCGCCCGCCCGCCCGCCGCCCCCATGCTCCGCGCTTAGCGCTGCCGGCCCCAGCCATGTCCACCGTGCAGCTCTACACCAAGGTGAGCGGGGAGGGGTCTCTGTGCACGCCTGTGTTTTCCCGGGATCCCGGGCCGGGGGCTGTTTACCCGGTCCTGGAGGGGCCCCGCAACTTTCCCCGCACCCGCCGGGACGGCGCCCGCACGTGCGCGGGATGCGGAGGGGGCACCCCCCGCACCCCCACGGGGGTCCTCGTCCCCTCCCGGTCCCCTCCCGGTCCCCTCGCGGTGCCCTCGAGGTTTCACCCACCCAGGTTCTCTGCAGGAAAGGGTGAACTTCGCCCGTGGGTCGAGGTGGTGGCGGCGGCGGCCTCGCCCTCCGTGCGGTCCGTCACCTGCGCGGATAAAAGACTCTCAGCCTCCCCAAATCCTCCTGCCCCTCCCGCCCCCCCAACCTCCCGTACTCCTAACCACGGGGGGTGGAAGGAGAGGAAGACGCAGTCCGTGGAAGTGTCTTAACTCACCGAAGCGCTCCCGGGGCGCCGGGTTTCCAGAGTCCTTTTTTGTTCCGCAACTCCTGGATGTGATCCCTTGGCAGGGGTGTAAAGGGACGCACCCGCTTCCTCATGGCAGCCGGGGAAGGTGACATGGCTGGTGGCCTGGCTGGGCGCTGTGCTTCAGAGGGGCACCCAGAATTGCTCCTAAAAAGCGATCGTTGTGGTTAATGGGAGGCTCAGGTGCTGCTTTTTAAGCAAAGCCTGGGATCTAGAAAAGATATCGCCGGGTTTTTCCGTATTTTTTTTTTTTAATTTTGTTTTTATTTTATGCTATGGGATACTTGGGTATTCCCTGTCCGTGGCCAAACTGGGCTGTGGATGCATCCCACGCAGTTCGGGTCTTTCCGCCCCTCTTCCCAGCGAGAGGTCTGTGTCTGGAGAGATCTTTGCTGACTGACTTGTCCCGATGAAAGAGCTCCTCGCACGCAGCGGGAGATCTGCCCGGTACGGAGCGAGAGCGGATACGGACAGAGCCCTCTCCCTGTGCTCTGCATTTTCTCGAGGCTACCCGGGAGTGCCGCGGGCAGCCGGGATCCAGGGAATGTGCTCTGTAAAAGCCATCAATAACATTAGGCAGGGGCTCATCAGGAAAAGTGCTTGGCTTCAGAATGGGTTTTGCTGAAAGACTGTAGAGTGCCAGCATCATGTATTGTAATAATGAGAATTTTAGTGTTTTAAACTCTTCCCGTGACCGTGGTCAGCATGGAGATGCTGCCAGATTGCCACCAACCCTCTCAAGGAAGCACTTTTTGTCTCTGTGCTGGTCTCCCGGGCTTAACTTTGTTGCAGATTTCTGCTTCTCGTAACTCATTTTGCGAACAGCTTTTATGTAACATTGGGGGTTGCCACTTATTTTTTTTTTTTGGCTGTTGCTATCAAATGGGTGGAGGATGAATTGTGGTTCTGGCGGCTCCTCCTTTGAACCTGTGGGAATTGCAGAAGCCCCGCTGGACTGAGCAGGGCTGTCCGTGAAGTGGGCTGGCCTCCATCCTTCTTGGGAGCACTTTAAAAGCGGAGTCTCAGGTTTGGAAAAGCTTTTTCCCTTGGAAAATCCGAAAGGGAGCAGAAGTAAAGCTGTGGCTAAACTGCTCTGACCGCAGCATCTCTTTGGATGAGTGCATGGATGCGATAGAGCCAGCCTCCTTCCTCCCCAGGGATGCTTCCCAAGTGCTGTGGTATCCCTGGTCTCTGAGCTGATTAAAACTACCTGGTTAATTGATTCTTAACTTGATGATCAGCTAATTAACCAGTGTTGTCTTTTTATGCTGGCTTGGTTTGGTTTATATTCCTGTTGGTCTGTTGAACAAGGTGTAAGATGCCTCCTGGGGTATTACTTGGGATCCTGTTACTGTGTAGGGACTTTTCCCCTTGGGAAGTGGTGGGGATTTGGTGACCACCTGTGTGTGTTGTAAATTTTAGATTTATTTTTAACAAAAACAAAGATTCTTGGTGAGAGCAGGTGTTTCAGCACTGGCTGTTCTGCAAGTGCCTGTCTGTTTTGCAGCAACGTTTTAGGGATGCAGCTGTTTTGGTAGGTGGTGGGGCCATGGGTGATGCCTTGAACCCGCAAAGGGTCATCTGTGCAGCTGAGTCACGGTGAAATTTAGGACTGTCCTGCTGGGTTGTCTGCTGCATGGGGCCTCTGTGCCAGCTCGGGGCTTTGAAGCAGCAGGAAAATGTTTCCTGTGACTTTGAGAACACCGGGAAAAAAAAAAAAAAAGAGCAAAGAAGGCTTAAAAGTCACAACAAACCCAACAGCCTTGAGATGCTGAGCCTGGTGGTGGTTGCTGCCAGAGGTCCCTGAGAAGAGAGGGATCATTAAGGAGGGTCCTGGTTCTTGCTTGCACATCACCTCTGTGCAGAAGGTGACTTTCCAAGTGCTTCAAGAGGTGGGGCCTCCTGGGTTGCCTTGTTGGCAGGGTGGGGATGTGGCGTTTTGAGGGAGGATGCAGAAGGAGGGGAAGGCAGATGCTGTGGCTGGAATCAATAGTATCTTGCTAAGAGCCGATCGATCCAACGTGTGGTGTTGCATTAGCACAGCCACAACACTACCTCCCTTGGAGTTCTTCCTCCTTGAGCTGGAACCAGGGTGAGAGAAACTGCTGGAGAGCCACTTTGGAGTGTCCAAGTGGGACTTCTCCGGTTTTCCCACCGCTCCTTCTTACTGGACTGCAATGGGAGCTGATGTGTATTGAGTAGAGAGCCCTTAACTTCCACATGATGCTTGCAGAAGACTTTCTGAGACGTTGTGTGGACATGTAGCAGTGTCTTAGTGAATAAGTTCATCATCATGCTGGTGAGTTTGGTGTGTCAGACTGGGCACTGCCCTGAGGAACATTTTAAACTGGAGAGCAACCCATCCTTGAAACACCAGCAGCTCCAAGTTGCTGGTGGAGGCCCTCTCCATGTGATATCTCCCTATGCCCCTTTAAGATCAGGGCTGACTGGTGTTTAATAGCCCCCATCAAACAAGATAATTAGTAGCTGTGCCTAATTATGAGCATGAGAGTAGTTCCAAAACTGCATCAACCTTAAAGCACGTAGGACTCCACTTGGGTAAATAGTTATGGAGAGACCATTCGAATACCCTTCTCACTCCCAGTGCTTTATCTGGGGACTTTGGGGTTTATCTGGCTGTGGATTTTGTTCTGTGGCAGAAGCAAACAGGAGTTTAGTGCATGTCCCAGCAGAAGAGGAGCTGTGTGGCAAAGGGTGTGGACCTGGTCCTGGAGCTGCTGGCACCAGCATGTGCAAGAGGAGTAGGGCAGGTAGTGGCATCAAGGATTCCAGCTGGCAAAAACCTGTTCCAGATGGAAAGTGCTGGAGCCTTGCCCAACCGGTGTATTGCCCAGTTCCCCCAAGAAACACCTTTCTAGGGCTGCCTGGGCTGGTCCTGCTCTGCCACATCCCCGAGGTGCCCAGCTGCAGCACTGCAGGCAGACGGTTTGTTTCTGGGCAGGGCAGTTTCTCAAACCCTATTTACCTGCAGCAGGAGGCAAAGGCAGCTCCCTACATGCAGGGTTCTTTCCTTCCTCTCCAGCCAGGGCCCTCCAAAGAGACCTGTTGCTTATGCAGCTAAGCTACAGCCCAGGTAGCTGCAGTCAGTCCAGGTGAGCCTGTGCAGGTGCCAGCATTACCCTGTAATGAGGTAACGGGGATGCTCTGCTCCCTGGGCTGGGTGCTGGGCAGGATGGAGGAAGGACATCACCCAAGGAAGGTGCCATCCCCAGCAAAGGATTGATTTGCAGCATTAATTAGCAGAAATTAGAGTTGTTTGCATGGCTAGCCTTTGTTACATTGTAAGGCGAAGCTCTTCATGTGACTAAAACAACTATAATTGCTTTGGCTTCTGGGTGTTCTGCTCTCTTAAAGGTGCTTCTTAAAATATGTTAATTGTTCTTTTAAGTATAGCCTCTGAACCTCATGCAAAACAGTGCTTCTGCCAGGAGAGGGAATGAGCTGTGCCTTTCTGCTCCCGGGGTGTTGTGCAGCACAAGATATGCTCTTTGCAAGGTTTGCAAGCTCTGGGTAAATAAGAAACCAGGGTATTTATTTTTTATACTCTCTTTTTCCCTCCCATTGTACAAAGTGACTGTTACTTGCCAAGTATTTTCGCACAGAGGATAGAACTTAATGCATTAAAAAGTCTTCTTCTAATGGCTAGTGTTGAGTGTAGAAAATGCTCTGGTTTTCACTTAAAGTTGTATTAAATAAAGTAACTGGAATGAATTGGTGGTTTCTGACCCTGGGGAGAAACTTTTCAAAAGTGAATAAATGCTGCCAGTGTGATCACACACTGACTGAATCAATGAATTGGCATAAACCTTCTGGCATAAAAGCTTCTGAAAATGATTTATCCTTCAAGGCTTGGGGAGGATTCATCCTTAGTGTGTGCCTGTGTGCTGGATTGGGGCTGAGCAGCGGCTGGGAAGTGAGAGAAGATTTTCTGTGGATTGTGATGCCTAAAATCTTCGGGAGAAAAGACTCTCCAGGCAGTATTAGATAAAATAGAGAACAGCTCTTTTAATGAAGGCCTTCTGGCCACGGAGTATGAAAGGTGCTTACACTTTTGTATCTTTTGCTGATTCTGATATTAATTGGGACATCCAATCCTAAGACCCCTTTTGCTCTGGCACTACTCTCAGAACTGTCCCACTGGAGTCCCTCCAATGGTCTTGGGCCTTGTATCTTGTTTTTTCTACCATATCTCCCGCTATTCTGGTCCAGGTGCTCATCCCAACAGAATCCAATGGAATGCTCTTGCTAAACATTTATTGCCTTGAAAAAAGCTGTTGAAAAGACGGTAAACAGATGGTTAAATGGAAGCTTCAGGAATGTGACACGCAAGCTGTGAGAAAGTGGTGGTCTAAAGTGAAAGAAAACTACAGCTACGTGAAAATCTACAAAACCCCTCAAAGTTTTAAAAATTCTAAATTGTGTAGAGCAAACTTCTGGGAATAAGAGTGGGGAACAGGGCAAGTTTGGGGTTCAGCCCCCGCACATCAACAGGACCTCTGTTGCAGAGCT